GTCCAGTCCAGTCCAGTCCAGTCCAGTCCAGTCCAGTCCAGTCCAGTCCAGTCCAGTCCAGTCCAGTCCAGTCCAGTCCAGTCCAGTCCAGTCCAGTCCAGTCCACGGAATACCATATGCCTCAACAGTGTTATTAATGAGATGCAATGAATATATGAAGTTCATATATTTTGAACTGCGGTATTAGATACGTATGATGTGCGATCCTCACAGTAGAGAGCGCTATCTACTGCGAGGATCGCACATCATACGTAGTGTTATTAATATAATTGTAAATTTTTTAAGTTTATATCCATCATGTTCCATGTTCTTTGCTCTAATGGTGTCTCAGTTTCACATACAGTGTATCTTATGATGAGAAACTTTAATTACTTCACTGCCTATATGTCACATGTCTTTTACTGAACTTAATTTACAGTTGTAAAGGAATGAGACCCTCAGATGTGCTATGTCAGGTATTTGCCATGGTGGATGGAATTTGCAAGAGGAGTTTCCCCTTTGTAAAGTTTCATTGTAGACCTGCCTGCCCCTCACCTGAGTGCCGTGGTCACCAGGAAGGTGATTTGCCAGCACATGCAATGGGTGAACCATCAGTTATGAGATACCATGTGTATAACATCATGCCTGGACGTAATGGAGATAAAATCCCTTTCATGTACCGTGTAAACCAGTGTTTTGAGGATCAACTGATTGGATGGATACCATATTTATAGTGACATTAAATCCATACATCTACCTTGTGTGCATGATCTTTGCTCTGAGCATGTGATATGCTGTAGGTAAAGAGTTATGTGTGTTCATGATGAACATATAGCAAAACTTAGTCTGCATACATCTCCTGTCTCCTTGAACACAGATGTAAACCATACATTGAGAGAACTTTATACATAACATGATAAGGAATGTATGATGCACGATCCTCGCGGTTAGAGAGCACTATTTATGCAATAGCGAAAATCCCAGTTGGCTTGTTAGCTCAATTGGTAGAGCGCTGCACTGGTATCGCAGAGGTCAGTGGTTCGAATCCCGTACAGGCCTGATTTTTTTCAGGTCTGATTTTCGCTATTGCATAAATAGCGCTCTCTACTGCGAGGATCGTGCATCATAGGTATCTATAACCGCAGTTCAAAATATATGAACAAGATAAGGAATGATTTGATAAAGCTTGCCTATGTTGTACACTTGAAAATTAGCACAATAATGGCCCAATAATTAGCTCTTTTATTTCAATTTATTACCTTAAGAATGAGTGCTAACTTCTCTTTCATGGATTTCAGTAATTATGTTTTATACAGTGCTTCTCCTCCATAGTTTTTATTTATTAGTTTACAAAGTACTAACTGGATGATAAATACTCTCAAAAGACAGTGGGGAATGCTTGTTCCTTGATTAATCCTTGTGGTAGGATGGTGTAAGAGACGCCCCTAGACGATGTGTCATGATAATCTTCTTACAAAACAAAAATGCAAAGTATTTCCACGAGACTCCCAAGGTAGTTCCTAAGATGCACCGGAAACTGTTTGATTCTGTCATAAGCAGGGACTCAGCAATTAATTCATTGAAATGCCAGTTAGGGAGACGCAATCTGAGTTCGACTGATCAGTGGATGTAAGCGCAATTTTCAACTGAGGGTCGAAAGTAATATGCGATTGCATTTTTTCCTTAGCTTTGTTGTGGTCCTGAAAATTCTAGACGCACGTGGCATAGAATCACGAAACTACACAAGCGCTAAAGATAATCATGCCAATTAAGACGATGAAGCTAACTATAACAATCAAGTAAATAAAATGGCTTACTTTAGTCTGGCTCCTAGCGACAATAGGTAGTTGATATGTGACGGTGAAAAAGAAAGTAGCGTTTAGTGAACAAGTAGCGTTGCAACAATAAACCTCTCAAAGAACTACGTCCCTTACACAATGAAACCCGATCGCTAAACCTGTCACACGAGTGTGTACCGTTGCGCAACAAGTGAATAACAACGAGAACAAGAAACGAATCACGGCTAAATATAAACAAACGAACTATTATGTTACGAAAGAAACAAAACTACCCCTCGTATGTCGGCAAGGGCGCCTTCAAATCCATCATGACGAGAGCTCCCGCGAAGCTAAAGCAGCAAACTTCAAGCTCTTTTAATCTCACTTGCGTACTTTCGCGTGTAGACGGCAAAGCGCGACGCAACCGGCAAACGTGAAAAATGGCGGAAAAATCATGGTAACATGGCCTATGGGCCTTTGTTACCCTTGTTCAGCGGTCAATTTGTTTAGGGTAAATTCCGTAACCGAAGGAAAATTAAAGTTGTTTTGCAATTTCCTTCCTACACCCAAGATAAACACAATGTTCGGTCAGGATAAGCTCTTTCGCGAGAATATCGAGGTGAAAGAGAAGCAAGGAGATACCACAAACGCACAGTTTGCGTTCCCTAAACAATGTTTGGTGTTGGGCGATCCTCGCGTCGGAAAGACGAGTCTCGTCAATGCCTTAACTGGAAAGCCATTTGATCCAGCCGAACAAACAACGCAAGGAATTGATCAGAGCCTTGTCGATCACGAGTGGAAAAACTGCGACATGAAGGATCTCGTGTTTGGAGACTTGTGGAGATATCTCAAAACAGGGGACGTGGAAGTGACTTTGATAGGATCTGGAGGACGAAACAATAAGGTTCTTGTTGATGATCGCGAATTTTTGTTAACAACTAGTCTTGTACGGCTTTATTTCTACTTCTGCACTTTTGTGACAACATGCCAATTTCTCGTAGGGACAGTATTTAGTTTTCCAGTGGCATATCTCTTATTTTACTGCGTCTACTTTGGTTACTTATTGTTTCCGATTTGTGCTATTCACTTCGAGGCTTCAAAAAATATCAGATTTATATTCGTCACTTTAGCTTTCATCCTGAACCGCCGAGGACTGTTACTAGGGTTATATTCAGCCATAATGATATGTCCTTTCAACAATAGTTATCTCACATTTGCTAGTACTGGTGAGTTTCTCATATTGAGCACAGTTACAGGAATTGTCTTCTTCGTCATGTTCCTTTTCATAGGACCATTACGACTACCCTTCGGTACAGCTCAACAGACCGGGAATCGAAAGTTTATGAAGTTTCTCTGCTTTTGCCGGTTACCGCTATCATTCATGATTGGATTAATTTCTGGCTTTATCGTGGCAATGTCGTTCGGAAGCTGGTACGAAATGTGCCACGAGGAGGCTGGCCTATCCGTAAAACTATCAGAACTGTCAAATACTATAGTCACACCTGACATGACAAAGAGTCGTAAAGCGTTTGACAAGCTCATAACCTGCATGAATAGCTCTGACAAAGTTACTATTAGTTTTTTAACGACTTTTGTGTGGGAATTCCCAGCTCACATTTTGGACGCAAAACATTTTAGAACCATCCTTAACGCTATAAGGGAGCAAAGGTCGAATGGGCTCTTTCTTGTCTTGCTCTACTATTACCTGAAAATAGCATTTCAAACATGGAATGATGCACGTATGACAATTTACTATTTTATCATATTATTTTCTTTATACTTCTGTTTAACTTTATATCATGAATGGTTTTGTAGCCACTCTGAAAGCAATGAAAGAGTAATCGTTTACCCTTCTGACAGTTTCTTGACACTAGCACTGAGTGGCAGTGTAGAATTGAACACCAAAAAGCTCAGAAATTCCCTCAAGGATAAATATCCCTCTTTGAAACTGAAGGTCCTTGATTTTGCGGGTGATAAAGAATATTATGCCTATCATCACATGTTTCTCAGGAGCCAGGCTATCTATCTCATTGTATTCAACATGACTGACTTTGTAGAAAATGACAGTAAGGATTTATGTACCGAAAGGCTTCAGTTTTGGATTGAGTCTGTCTGTAGCCATGTGCCACCTAAAACACCCATCATCCTTGTTGGAACACATAGGAATCAAATGGATAAAGAATGCATGCAAACCTTAAATGGCCATTTTAAAAAAATTATTTGGACATCCTACTGTGATGAGCTGATAGTCAATGAAGACGAAGATTTGATCTTCTTTCCTGTTGAGAACTCAAAAGGGGAAAATGATGTTGGAGTTCAAAAGCTTCAAATAAAAATCATGGAAGTTGCGAAGGAATGCAAGCCAACTACAGATCACAACATTCCTTTGTCATGGATTAGGATTCAAGATGCAATCATTCAGTTGAGGCAAAAGAAGG